ATGAGGTTAAGAGGACCCATCTGCTACTACCACGATATTTCAGATACTTTATTAATGAATGGCAAAACAGAGAACTGAGATTCACAGGGAAAAGGTGTTACTTTGCCCCAAAACATCACCCTCTGAGGAGTGCCTGGCAGAGCCAGAGGAGTTGGGAGGCTTCCTGAGCCTGTCCGCCAAACTGCAGCATCCCACGGCAGATATGGACTGGGTCTGGTTTAACGCCTCGTGCTTACATTAGACCTAGCCTACAAATGAACAGAAGGCAATAATGACACTTCTCCATGAGAGTTTTCTGCATAATAGGCAGTTTCTGACATCAGCCAGATCCAGGGTAGCCAACATGATGCAGCAACAAGCTTTGGCAGGAGTCCTGTCCCTGGCAAAGCGGCCGATTCTATTTTCATTTGTTTTAGAGACAGTTTCTCACCCACCATACGTGTGCAGCTGGCTCCTGCTCCAGCCCCCGCAGGTCAGTAGGAATCTTTCTCTGACTCCAGCATCTCTAAAATAATTACCTTCCCGTTCTCCAGAGGTGGGACAATAGCTGGGCTAGTGAGGCTCTGTTTTTCGCTATGTTACCGGCGCAGCTAAGTGTCCCCACTATAGGATGACACATATTTTTAATGTGTAACAACCTTTTGTGGGTTCACTGGGGTGCCACCCACACTGGTGCTGGTCTTGTCCTTTCTGTCCGGTTTCATGCGGTGAGGAGGGAGCAGTTTGCAGGGGAAGGGGGGGGCAGGCTGCCCCCAGCCCCACTGAGCATCCCCCAGGCTCGCCTGATTTTTAGTGCAGTGAAGGCTGGCGGCAGCTCTGGGCAGATTATTATGCCAGAAAGCATGCCGATGTGTCACGTATATTGAATACATCAAACATTACTGCCTCACCATGCCTCACACGAATCATTTATTTCTTTAGAAACTGCAGACTGGTCTAGTTTTATATTTCACAAGTCACCTGTAAAATATATATCTATAAAAGTATTACAGGAGCTAGGATTCCTGCAGGGACACGGCAGCCTGCCCACATTGTGCTCTGCAACCTTACCATCTGCGCTGGGACTTCCATTTGTACCTGGCACTGCTGCTTTCCAGCTCTGCGGTGTGTATTTTAGTTGGGGGTGTGGTGATGCGTGCACATCACTCCCTCGGTTTCCAATGCTACCAAAACCCCCGATAACAGAAGCCGAGGACGCCGCTTTGCAGCCCCGCTGACTTGCCAGGGCTCTGAGTGTGCTGCTTGGGGGCTGCACGCGGGTATTGCAGTGCTGCAGAAGTGGGAATTAGTTCCACTTTCTGCTACACATATTTTTATTTGATTAGTCTAATATACTGCATTATTATTTACCACATGCAAATCTCTTCAAACTGATTAAAGCTGACATTTCAGCTAGGAGATGAGATCTGGAAAGAAGTAATAAGGAGAAATTATTTCACAAGCTTTTGCACTTTAGATTTGCAGGGAGGATCGATTACACTTAAAATTTAAGGCCCAGACTTGACCCTAAATCTCCTTTAAGGAAAAGGAAAGAATTAATTCCTTAATTTGTTATATTTCAGCTTTACAGGCTGGCTCAGCAAAACCCAAGGGAGATTGCACAAGATGCCATTGGTTTTGAATGCTGTTTTTGGATACGACTGGAAGGCAGCAGTGAAAGCTAGTTTGAAAAATACCATGTTAACACATTTATTATATTTAAGACCTTAAGAATTATGGTTATCTATATAGCTATAGAATTATCGTGGAAGCAGTTGTTTCTCAGTCACCAAAGGAAACTTGTTAGCTATCTTTCTGGATATACTTTTCAGCACACAGGTTTTTATTTACTGATTTCTACTGGGGACCAAATAGTGCTAGGTATTATACACTTATAAAGCACAATCCCTGTTTCAAATAAAAGGCAACAAAAATGGTCAGTTAGCCTCTGGAAAGTATATTTTGCAGAGAGAGAGGAAAAAAAAAGAAAGAAAGAGTTTTGCAATGATGAGCTCATTCCTTCAGCAACTACATGGACAATGTTATTTTTTGTAAATCAGGTGTAGAAAGGTTTAAGACCAACTAAGATTCTGATTTACAGAGGTCCAGGTATTTTATAGAGTCGAATACCTTACAGCCTCCTTCACGTGAACCTGTAAATGAGAACCTCTCCAGAAAACCTTGCTTACGCTTGCAAAAATTAGATGTTTAGCTCTCCTCAAGTAATAGTATTGAAAGCTTTTTCTAGACAGGGGTCAGATCCATTTTATTGTAAGTGCAGATCCATTCAAAGTACAACAGGACTGAGGTAAAGGACATCTCAGTATTACAGGGTTGTTACTTCAGCTCCAGCCTAAATGACTTGACTGAGGCTAAAGGACAAATCGGTGCCAGAAAGCAGGGCTGGAAGTTGCAGTTCCAAGCCTTGCGTTCAGAGCAAAAGATCACATTCACAAAATGAGTAAAAAATGTGGAGGGAATGTCTACCTAGGTGTGACTTCTGCACTCATCTCCAATTGAAATGAGATTGACTCCGTGGACTGACACTGAAGCCATTTGACCAGACAAATCTCCAGTCTATCCATGATGGGCATTTAAAGTCTTTACTGGAAAAAATTCCCCTCCCCCAAATGGGAATAAGAAGATGTTTCCATTATAAAATGATTGTGACAACTCAGCTGTTACTTTTTTACCCTCAGCCTAGAAAGCATTTCTTGCATTCTTGTCTCAGCACACAACCTTAGCGGCCCTTCATGTGCAGCACCATAGTAATTTATCATTACCCAGTCTCCAAATTATTCTAGTGTTGATTAAATTAGTAAATGCAATCACAATCTGAAGCAAGTTAATTGAGAGAATTTATTTGGCCCTGACAGTTTTATGCATGTTTGATTAAGTATTATAAGGTTTGTTTTTGATTTTGCATAATTTAACTTTAAATCCTGCACTGGGGGGGCCCATCAACTATTAATGACCGAAATAAACTCTTTTAAGATGCATATATTTATGATTTATTTCTAAATGCAATATCTTCCAGATTTTTTTTGTTCTGTTGCCAAAGTGACAAATATGTTTAAAGTAATATTTTGAGCCATTCGGTTCATGCTATAAATCTTGTGAAATGTATACAATTCATTAAAAGTTTTGAAAGAAGTACAAGTTAGCATTTATATTGCAACAAGTGACATATAAATGTGTATGTTTGTCTTCGAAGCGCACCATAAAATATATCAGCACTGGCTGGCTGCGGTGACTAGTACTAATGGCCCGCTCTCTGGGCTGATGATAAGTTTCGTCACAAATCTTCAACGCTGTCAACACAAAACTGTTCAATCAACAGGAATATGAGTTGTGTCTTTAGTAAAATTAGCACAGGAAAGAATTACAACCCCGAGCGCTGTCGGCGTGCTGTGGGCGGGTTCCCTTCGGGCTGAACTACAAGCGCTCCTTCAGGATCGTATCTCTTTGAATGTCAAAGCTTCAATTCACACCTGACCTGAGGACGGTGTATTTTTTATGAAGATACACATTCATATAAGCAGCAAAGGGGTCAAAATATTTCAGGCAGAAAACTGAATAGGGCTGTCTCGCTTTTTTTGTCATCCCAACCTAAGAAATTAAAAGGGTCAGTCTCGGCACTGATGTGGCTGTGTCGCACCCTTGCACGTGTGTGTTTAGGTTGTGGGGTCACTCGGTGGAGCTGTGTGGATTTTTCTGGAGGCTGGGAAAGCCCTCCAGACCTCATTCCCCCCCCTCCAGGGGTTCCTGCAGGACTGAAGGAGCCCCACCTTTGCAGCACTTGCATTCATCCCTGTAATTCTCCAAGGCAAAGCTGGGAAGCCAGAGTACCTTCAGCATTTTGTTTCTTGGGCTGAAATTCCCATTTCTGGGCTGTGGCTCCAGTCCCAGGCAATGGCGGAGGGAAATAAATGGAACGTGGCCCTCCTGCTTATCTTAGTCACTGAACAGATGTTCCCAGTTTCATGCTATTGGGAAAATACCAGCTTCGCACCTCCCCTTCTCCCTCCCACCAGAAGGCACATGGAAGACGCAGAAATGGAAATTTGCTAGGGGTACACCACCGCTTATTACCTTGTCTATAATTTCCCCTTGATGCACGTCCTGCCCCTCGGGCCCCGTGTTGCATTTGCAGAGTAGAACTGCTCTGCGGGGCCAGCCGTGCTGCGGGCGACCGGGGAGGGACCAGGGACCAAAACCAAGCATGAGCAGCAGCGAGGCAGTTGGGACGCCGGGACGTGTTTGGCCTGGTGCCTCAACTGCCTGCGTGGCAGGTCTTAGTATTGACAGATGGCTCAAGTTATTATTATTTAATGTTTTTCCACCGTGGTGGTGCCTAAATGGCAAGTGGGGCGGCGAGCCAATGAAAAGGCTCTGTATTCTTTCCATTACAGAAAGTAATTTTTAATTAAATCTAAGGAAAAACAGCAGGGAGGAAGCTTCTTTTCTTTCTATCGCTTTTGAATTTTCCTCCACCCGTTTGGTTTTTAGGAACTTTTTGGGTCTTCCTGGCCTCCCCAGAAGGCCGTGTCCCCTACATTTGCGATTTTACCATCTTGCTTCTCTAGAAGTGCTTGAGCCCCTTCAGCGGGACGAGGCCCCGGGCGAACCTCAAAGCGCTCTGAGGCGGAAAAGCTCCGACCGAGCAGCGACTCCGGGAAACCTCCGCCGCGCTCCTGCGGCAAGCGATGGCGTACGCCGCTGCTTTTACCGGGGTATCTCCCCGCACCCTCGGGACCGCGTCCAACCCCAGGCCACGCGCGGCTGGGCAGCCGAAGCGAGCCGGCTCCACCGGCGGGGTTTGCTACCGGCCCGGTTTACGTTGGAAACAATCCCACACACACACACACACACACACACGCCGCCGCCGTGCCCTCACGGCCAGTAGCTCCGGGCCCAGCCCGGTAGCCCCGGGCCCAGGCCGCTCATCGCGTTGCCCGGGTAACGGCGGCGCCCTCCCGCTTCCGGCGGCGCGGCGTGATGACGCCATCGCCGCGCGCCTCCCCCGGCCGCTCCCCTCACCCGCCGTCGCCGCCACCGGCCGGAACCGGCGGCCGCTGCTCCCCCCCACCCCCTCCCCCGGCTCCGCTTCCCGCACATGCGCATTGCGGCGCTGGCCCGGAGGCCCGGGCCTTCCATCAGCCCGGGCCCGGGGCACCCCGCCTCGGCGGCCGCCGCCCGCCGCGGGGCCATGGGCAGGACGGTGAGTGCCCCCCCCCCCCCCCCGGGGCTGGGAGGAGGGGGGCGGGCTGGGGCCCGGTGGGTGCGGCAGCGATCGGTCACCGTCCGCCGGTGGTCTGGGCCTCGCGTGGGAGCGGGGACCCCAGCACCTTCCCGGGGGCCGGGCCGGGCTTTCAACCCCGCCGCCCACGGGGCAGGCCTGTGCCCTCGGTGCCTAAACCGGTGCGGTTTAATTTAGGATTTGGTAGGATGTAGGAGGGGTTGGAATTTCCCCTCCTTCCGGTAGTCCCTGCTTTCATTTATCACCGCTAACCTTTATTTGTCATTGTCCCTAACCTCGCTGGGTTCTTTCTGGAAAGCTTTGGTTCTGCTGGTCCTTGTCCTGTGTAAACACCGCAGCCTTTTCTGTCATCCCTCTTCCTCCGTGAATTATGAGTACGCTGGCTGAGCAACAGCAGACCTCGCCTCGAGTGTGTGATAGGTGAAGAGAAGTAGCGCTGTATTTCGGTGGCTTTCTTATCGTACGCTCCATTTTTAAAGGAGAGGGAGTGAAAACTCACCAAAGCGAACAGTTATTCAGATTTTTAGCTTCCTGATGAGGCCGTCATTACCAGGGTGCTTGGAGCCACGGCAGCGTGGCTGACCCCGAGTTGCGCTGGCCTTAGGGTTGAGATCCTTTGAGCAGTGGGGCGATACGCAGAAGAGACTGTGCTGTGAAACAGAAAGGCCCCCCAAAAAATGATCTTGAGGCATGGGTGTCCAAATCTGTTTCTTGGCATCACGTACCGGTTTGAGGGCCTGCACTGCCATGTTCTTTTTGGGAAGTGTTGGCTGTGCGTGCTCTCTGCGCCGCGTTTTGTAGGCCCTGGGTGAACGGTGGTGGCTCCATGGTAGGAGAAGGTGACTGACAAGAATTCCTTGTCTGATTTTCTCTTTCCTGTCTTTGTGTATGGCATCGAGCACAAGCTAGCGAATCCTTTCCAGCATGTCTCACTAAGCTTTAATTCATATATTATTGAGTGTATGATTCTTTTTAGAATCTTTATGAGATTAAAAATTCATGCTTGGGGAGGGGCCTTGTAATTCTGAACGTTTTAACACATAAAATGAGCAAATTGAAACTTAATCTCTCTCTTATCTTTTAGATCAACTCATATGTAGAGTCTTGTGAGTCTATGAAGCACCTTAGCAGTTTCTTTCACTCTTCCTAGAAGGCCAGGTGTCACAGGAAAACTTCACTTTTTTGTTACAAGAATTAAGTGGCATCCAGAAACGGCAGCCAATTACCAACCTTCTGCTGAGTGGATGGCATCACCATTAAAAATGTAATATTTCAGAAAGTTTATTTTATTCTCACAATGTCCCTCTGCTTGTGGCTGTTCCAGTGTTGATATTTGAGTTTACCAAAAGAGCATGAACCTCCCAAAGGCTGTTTGTTTATGTGGATGGCATCACCATTAAAAATGTAATATTTCAGAAAGTTTATTTTATTCTCACAATGTCCCTCTGCTTGTGGCTGTTCCAGTGTTGATATTTGAGTTTACCTAAAGAGCATGAACCTCCCAAAGGCTGTTTGTTTATGCGGTGGGCACAGTAAATGGGAACGAGCTGTTGCTGTTCACAGAGTCTCTGCAGCTGAGCTGCTTGAGTGGTTCTAATGGATTCATCTACTGAAGGTTTTGTCAGAATCAAAGCTCCTCTTCTAAACCAGGGCTCAGCGTTTTGAGTTTGCCCCCACAAACTACAGCTTCTGCAGGCAAGGTTTGTGCTCTGTCACTCAGGCGTGGTCTTGCTGGGTGCTCTAACAGTGTGTGCACTGATTTCCCTCTGCTGCACAGAGACTCAGATTAAGTAGCTATGTAAGAGTTTGTGGGAAAATGATCAGCTGTCTTATGTGTCCCGGTGAGTTTGTAAGGAGGGGCGGCACCCTCAGAAATTGGATGCTCTCAATCCAGAGTATGTGAATTTTAACCTGTCTTGCTAATATAGTCCTCAAAAAATATCTCTGAACGCAAACACTGAGCAGTATATACACACAGCATGTGGGAAGCATGTTCAGTTGTGTGCTCCAGGCAGAAAACTATGATGTTTTTAAGTATTGTTAGTTTACTATCTGACCAATTTATATGTCTTGGGCAATACATTCTTGTAACACACTTCCGAGCTACTTAGTATTTCCTTTCTACAGACAGGAAATTATGGCAAAGAGGCACCTAAAATTATGAGGGTGTCTTTGATAATTGAGAACATACATCGACTTCCTAAATTCCTTAATCATAAGTTAACCCATGCTCCTTTTTATTAGTCCCTGATTCATGTAGAGCCAACAGACTGCCTGCAAATTTCTGTAACAACAAAAAAGAATTAGAATCTGGGGCCAGGCAGAAGAGATCAGAACTGGAACTTCAATTTCCATGCAATTTGAGGCAAGAAGCAGTGGAGAGGCTTACCTGGTGATGCACATTGTATCAGAGAAGGTCTTTGATATCAAAGTACAGTTTTCTACAGCCTGTTAATTTACTCTGTGATTAGGTTTGTTAGCAACAAAGCAAAAAAATTTTGAAGTAACTTTTATATTACTTATGTTTTAATGTTTAGAGTGATAGGATTTCTGGTTCAATGAAGGAAAGATCTGCCTGGGTTTGAACGCCTGGGCGTGCGAGGAGGCTGGGGAAGTCCCTGTTGTTTTCTAGAATTATCTGATGAGTGCATTGTCATTTCATAATTCCCGGAATTTGGCACACCATAAGCCTGGGGTGAAGCGGAGAGCAGCTAACAGGCTACTGCTCATCACTCACATAACAACAATGGGTGTGTGGAAGGATGTTAAGATTGTAAATCCTAAACACTCCAGAAGATCAAGATATTTCACTTATCTCTGTGGGTCCCAAAGGGAGAAATAAACCAGTAGATGTCTTTGAAAGGCTGCCTTGCCGTTGGATGCAGTGACAGTGAGAGACTGCAAGGCTTGGCTGAGCAAGGGGAGGTACATCCTGTAGAGTGTGAAAAACATGATTGCCTCATTGTTCTTGCAAGACCTTCCATTATTTTCAGTTTGTTTATTTGATGAAGCTTTGCCAAGTTTTGAACTGAGCAGAAATCTAGAATCACCACTGTGGGCTGTAGAATTCACTTGTAAAAATACTTGGAGAACTTTTTTTTTTTTTTTTTCCCCTTTCAAAGAAATATGAAACAATGCAAGCACATACATTAATATTACTACTCGCATGGGTGGACTGTTGCAGGACAGCTGTTTGATTAAGAAGGATCTGTGAATTAGCCAGGATAACTTCAGAACAAAGTTCTTCTCTTTCTGCATTAACACTCTAAAGCTTATAACTGGTTATAGCTAACATTGCTTGCTACTAGGGAGCTGTTTGGAATCTGACCTGGTGATGACGGAAACAGAATTGTATTTCTATATGTCTGCCTGGTAAACAATAAGCAAAGAAGCAAAGCAAAGTTGTTTTAAGCAAAGAAGTTGTGTTTTGCAAAGCAGTTGTAAGTAACCATGGAGCCAGTGAGTATCTGCTGTGCTGCCTCTCCTCCTGCTGGGGCTACTTAAATGTGTTTTCCTTCTCTGCCTTCCTGCAGGTCTCTTCCTTCCTGGAAATTCAGCACAGAGTTAGCGTTCCCAGGCTGCTGGATCTCTTCCATGTTAATGGATAACATTTGATATGTGCCCTGTAAATCCTGCCCTGGGACTCTGTGACCGGTGGGGTGCCTGATGCCTGTAATCCCCATTCCCCGCCGGGTCCGTTCGTTCCACGGCCCCCACACGACCTGCCTGCATTCAGCCTGTGGCCCGGTAAGGACCACTCACTTGGTGCGTACCAAGTACAACAATTTCGACATCTATCTCAAATCCCGATGGATGTATGGATTCATCCGTTTCCTGCTGTACTTCAGCTGCAGCCTCTTTACCTCCATCCTCTGGGTGGCACTCTCTATCTTGTTTTGCCTTCAGTACCTTGGCATCCGGATCTTCCTGCGTTTCCAGTACAAACTCTCCATCATCCTCCTCTTACTGGGGCGAAGGCGGGTAGACTTCAGCCTCATGAATGAACTGCTCATCTACGGAATTCATGTGACCATGCTGCTAGTGGGGGGGCTGGGATGGTGTTTCATGGTATTTGTGGATATGTAAATAAAACAAGCGCATGTGGGCTGAGAAGGTGATTTTTCTTCTACCCCAAAATGTGTCAATATCTTCTTTTCTTTTTTTATATGAATTAATTTATTTATCTGTGCTACTTTTTATTGATAAATTAACATCCATGTCTCTGGAATTTGCATTTTTTTGAGGGTTGAGGTGCCATTTTGATTATCAAAGTGCAGCACTTGATTGGGTGTTTGTACAGTGTAAGTTAATATAAGTTTCTTCTAGTCCATAGGTGCCTACTTTGCTGCTGTTCCTGTATTCCTGTGGGCATGGAAAAGGCAGTGATTTATCGGGAGGACAGATGCCAGATAACCTTGCACCCCACGCTCATAATCCATCCACACTTTTTCTAAAAATGTTCCTTAATGTCTCAGGCATGTAATATATATCCTACTTGACCAGTGTTATCCTTTCTTTATATAGTTTGCATTTTGCATATTCCCTGCTAAGAATATGGGCCAAATTCAACAGAGGGTGGGGGGTTTGGTGGGGTGGTTTTTTCCTGTTTTGTTTTTAGATTTTTGCAAGCCATGCTTTTGACCCACTATACTGTTCTGTTCACTTTGATGTATTTATATAGCTTTGAATGGCTTTGTGCTTTCCTGGCAGTTAGTGCTGAGTAATTGAGCCTTACCCTAATAGAACAAATCCACTGAAGTGATGGAAGTAGAGTTTGGTGTCACGTGCTCTTGAAATTCCCAGTCATGGCAAATATATTCTCATTTTGCAATGATTAAGGAGAACCCATTGCAATGGTCTGTAATGTTTGGATCTTGGCATTTGGTTCTACTTTACCCTGAATTGATTAGTTCCACTTTTTTCACAGAATTACTTCTCTCTTATGGAGTAGGGTGAGATGAGATGTCTTACCTAGGAGAGGTTGAAAGCAAAGTGCAATCTGAAATGGAAATAATTGTTGTCTGCAATGACAGAAAACATTATCTCTCCTACCTCTGCAGCAGTGAGCGTGGGGTCACTGGAGAGCTTTACTAACAGATCAAGAAGGGAGTTAAGCCTTAAGCTCCATTTTACTGATCTTGATCTAAAATCTCAGGCTGTTCCGCTGCAGTCAGTCAAGTAACTATTTATGGAGTCCAGAAGCTGGCCTGAGGTTTATATTTGTTCTGGTTTTGTTTGTTTGTTTTTCTTTATAATGGTATATTGCTTTTTTCCCAGTGTTCTTTAAAGAACTGTTTAAAAACAAGTTGGAAAAAATGATGGAGACCATTCCCCCCTGCCCTCTCCGAAATCAACGGAGTCAGTCAACAGAATAAGCAAGACTGGAAATATGTGACTGTTCTTTTATGATCTCTTTGCTCAGATATGAATGTGGTTGAGAACAAAGTCCATTTGCACACAGTGAAGGATGCTTCATATTTCAGCTTGTGAATATTGCAGTCTTTCACTGACATACTTGGATTTGTAGGCTGATGGATTCAAAATAGAGAAGCTTCTGTCTGAAGCCCAAAGCTAAAGCAAACCCAGAAATTATCTCATTAGCAAGTGTTACAGATAATGCAGACTGAACACGAAGAGCTGAATAAATAATGGGCCGTGGTGGTGTGAACTTTAGATTAGCCCCGCGAGAGCCAAAGGCTGTTTCTGCAGGAAAGATGTAGTGTCAGCATATGTCACAAACCGGTGTCTGGAAGTTTCCTCCTAACTGTAGAGCTCCCCAGAGCCTTGTTCTGGGATCACTCTCTGGACTGCAGCTCCTCAGTGTCCTGCAGGTCCGAGCTACAGCTTGCGCTCTAGGCAGAGGGAATTCCCAGTAATTCCCAGCCTAGTGCTTTCCTCCCCAGTACAGCTGTCAGCCTGGGGCATCGCAGCTCTGGTGTGCAGACTGCAGGGCTCCTGGGATGGCTGTGCTCAGGAATTTCTGCAGGAAACGTGTTACAGATGGCCAGCAAACAGCCCTGGTGCGAGCCAAGAGACCAGCCTGACCCCAGCGAGGCACAGCCCAGAGCAGCTCTCGCTCGCCCTTCGCAGCCTGGAGCCTGGTTGGGTGGTAGGACCTTGTTTCACCTTGGAGTGGCTGTATTTCAGCACTCCTTATAATGATGAGTAAAAGGATGATTTGAGGTACATGCGGGCACTGCTGTGCTCCCCCTCCCCGCCTGCTTCAGCTGGTGGGTGCTCTTTGTGACGGATGCACACGGCTGCTTCACCAAATCTGTGGTAGTTTGGCTCAGGTTCCGAAGGAAGTAAAGGTCTAGGCTGGGATGGGGTCGCGAACTTCTCTAGTTCCAACCCGTTCTTTGAAAACCCACACGGGAACGGGCTGACACGGTGAGCTTTGATGTATATGAGCTTGGAAACCGGAACACTGATCATGCGATTAACACATGAATAGCAGGTGGTTCTTCCAAGACTAATTTGGTAAAGGAACAAAGGAGGTTGTGGGTACAAGGAGTCTTATACTTAACTTTTCCATCGCATGTAATTTGACTACGAGCCAACGGCTTTATTCCATAAATATGACTGCCTGAGTGAGCTTTTTTTGAGCTCTCCGGCTAAGCAGCATGGCAGTGATTTCCCCTTGAGTTGGAACATGCCTCAGGGTTACTCCTCGAGGTGGAGAGAGACCCCTTATCAGCTGCAGATCTTTGGTAAGTGACTGATATTGCGCATAACCTTGTATCGCAGGGCATTGCGATCTTGTATTGCTAATTCTGGATCATTATTATATCCTCTGTGCAGTAAGTAATAGATTGAACCTTGCCATCGGACTTTGTTAAGCCTCACTTTTACATCTTACTCCAATAAAACCATTTTTGCTGCTACCTTTGGCGGTGGTTCTTTAAGCAGTCCAAATCTGCTTTGTGACACTCCTGCAGCAGCAGGTGAACAAAGAAGGGCTCCTGCATTGCAGTTCATTACTTTACTGCACAGACTTCCCCTCAGCCCTCTGCGTCCTGATTCAATGGTGCATAACCGAGGAAAAAGTTCATGTCCCTACCAAATCACAGAAAAGTAATGTTTGCCAAATGCCCAAATGTTCCTCGAGAGAGACCTTGAGGCTAAGCTGCTTAGAAAACAGTGGGAAGTGATTTGCCATTCCTCTGTTACAAAGGTAGCCAAGTACCTACTGTCAGAATGCCCTGAATCTCAAGTCTGCAGCTGCACACACAGATAGACAACCCCAAGATGAAATAATTGAGAAGGTGGCCTCACAGGCCACCTCTGAAGTTCAAAATATTCTCATTCCTGGTCATTACAAGCACTTGGACACCTTGCAGTGCTCGGGTGGTGTGACCCTACCAGTGTAGCAGGGGAAGTGAGGTCCCTTTGAAGTCATGCTGGCAAGGAAGAAGAATTAATTTTCAAATGATTTGTTTTATGATGTAATAATTTGAATGTTTTAGATCTACATGAGTGGAGCAGTATTTGGCACCTTTATGGCACTTTCCTTTTCAAAGTATTTTCCAACTACAGCTAATTAAACTTTACAACATCCCCAGGATGAATAAGTAAGAACTTGGTAATGGTTCAGAATTTAAATTCAGTGTTTTAAAATTTGAAAATTTTTTAAAAGCTTTTAGGCTTACTTTGCCAAAATATTTTTTTCTCAAGGACCTGAAATTCTAAAAGTTTATTACAAGCTCAAGGGGAGCCAAGCCACAGCTGAGGGAGGGAGAAAGAGGCATAAAAGTATATGCAAAGAATAACCTGTTGGTTTTTTTTGTTTGTTTTTTTTTCCCCTTTTAGTTTAATTGAAAAGAATGGCATTTTTAATAAAGGGGGGAGGGGACAGAACAAAACTTTGTAGCATAACAATTAAGGAAACAGGGGAAGGTGAACTTTCTGCCTTTCAAGAGTCAAACAAGTGGCATATAATGCTATTTGCCAGAAATATTTCATGTTAAGCAGATAGTTGCAAACTGTGCCCCACTGGGAAGTTTATATTCTTTTGGATTTTTTACTCTTTCCAAATTCATCAGTGCTGAGAAGGATGGATCAGGCTCCAAAATGTGTCAAGTTTTCCCTTCTTACTGTATAGATGGCCATAACTCTCAAATCTTTTGAAATTTTCATTTCAGCATTCCTTCATGCCAATTCCATCCTGAACAACTACATCAGCTGGTTTGTTCCCTGTCACTTCCCCCCCCCCCATGCTTGGGCTTTAAATATTGTTGTTATACTTACTGGGTTAAAGATGGCCTCTAGAGTAATTAGGAAAAATACTAGAAATACTGATTTAGGAGACTGTGTCCATGCCAGACCTATGCCAACCCCTTCGGAGAACTTCCCCCATGAGACCTGCTCACTGCAGAGCTTTCCAGGGGTTTGGGTGACAGAGAAGCTCCAGTTGCTTTGCAGACTTGAGGCTGGGGATGACGGTACGTGCGGTGGCAAAGCTGCCTTGGCCCGTTTTTTAGGCTGTGAATGTATGAACGAGACTGAAGTGTTGGAGTTCCACCTTGTTAACTCTTCAGAACGTGACACCAGCTGGTGTTTTGGGTGCCTGTTAAATTCTGTATGAAACATGCCACCTACATTAAACTTATTTTTTTTTAACATGTTGATGGATTGGTTGCTTGGGAAGAAAAAGGAAGAATTTGTCTTATGGTGCTGGTATCGTTCTGATGTGGGGATGTCCTAGATCATCTTCCTCAGTTTGCACGGGTGCAAAGAGTCAGAGCAAGGGCGTGGTAGAGGAGAATCAGGCCCTCCGTGGTTATGCCTCAAAAGCATCACTGAGAGCTGGGTAAAACACCTCTTTTTAGCTCCTTGAAGGGTCATTCAACAAGGAGTTAGGAGAGCCGGGAGTACAGCACAGCCTTCCAGCTCCTGGGCCTTGGCTCTAGCAGGCAGTCTGCATGGCCCACCGTGGGCGTGGGAGGGACTGGCACGAACTGTCGCTTCGCCTTGAGGTGCACATCAGTTAATAACTAGAAGGTGCCGTCTTTCCTCCTTTCCTTGCGTGGAGCTGAGCTGACAGTGCAGGGCTGTATCGTTTCAGGACGCAGCTGTGATAGCTCCTATGGGAATAAAGAGGGCTATTCCTGCTATGATGGACTTGGTAATTCCTATTG